ACTAGGGATATGTGTTTCCCAGGTGGGGGAACACATATGACTAGTGATATGTGTTTCACAGGTTGGGGAACACATATCACTCTGGATTTGTGTTTTCCAGGTGGGGGAACACATTTCTCTAGGGATAGGTGTTTCCCAGGTGGGGAACACATATTACTAGGGATATGTGTTACCAGTTGGGGGAACACATATCACTAGGGATATGTTTTCTAGCTGGGGGAACACATATCACTAGGGATATGTGTTTCCTAGGTGGAGGAACACATATCACTAGGGATAGGTGTTTCCCTGGTAAGGGAACATTGATCACTAGGGATATGTGTTTCCCATGTGGGGGAACACGTATCACTACGGATAGGTGTTTCCCAGGTTTGGGAACACGTATCACTAAGGATATGTGTTTCCCAGGTGGGGGAACACATATCACTAGGGATTTGTGTTTCCCAGGTGGGGGAACACATATGAGTAGTGATATGTTTTTCCCAGGTGGGGGAACACATATCACTAGGGATATGTTTCCTAGCTGGGGGAACACATATCACTAGGGATATGTTTCCTAGCTGGGGGAACACTTATCACTACGGATATGTGTTTCCCTGTTTGGGGAACACATATCACTAGGGATATGTGTTTCCCAGGTGGGGGAACACTTATGACTAGTGATATGTGTTTCAGAGGTTGGGGAACACATATCACTCTGGATTTGTGTTTTCCAGATGGGGGAACACATATCTCTAGGGATAGGTGTTTCCCAGGTGGGGAACTCATATCCCTAGGGATATGTGTTACCAGTTGGGGGAACACATATTACTAGGGATATGTTTTCCAGGTGGGAAACACCTATCCCTAGAGATATGTGTTCCCCCACCTGGAAAACACAAATCCAGAGTGATATGTGTTCCCCAACCTGTGAAACACATATCACTAGTCATATGTGTTCCCCCACCTGGGAAACACATATCCCTAGTGATATGTGTTTCCCCAACAGGGAAACACATATCCCATTTGTGTTTCCAGGGTAGGGGAACGCATGTCAGCAGGGATATGTGTTTTAAGGGTAGGGGAACACATATCACTAGGGATATGTTTTTTTAGTGTATGGGAACACTTATCACTAGAGATAAGTGTTTCCAGTGTAGGGGAACATGTATCACTAAGGATATGTGTTTCCACCAGGGATATTTGTTTTCCTGGTAGGGGAACACATATCACTAGTTATATATGTTTCCCAGCTAGGCCAATGTGTGTATTTTTTGTTTTACCCTTTTCTTATGATAGAATCTTTTAAACCTTGTAATGCTTAATTTCAGTCGTTTCTTATTCAATTTTGAGCTGCAACCATACTGTTGGACTAGAAGTTTGTTTATCTCTGCCTTCATAAGATTAATGTTTAACAGATGCTATAATTTTTTTCATGCTGCACTGAAATTGTTTCTTTTCTAATATATCTTTGAATAATATTTTTGCTTTCTGAACCTTGCAAATATTGTTGGGGTTGTACTCAATTAGTTTTATAGACGCTTTAATGGTCCAAACCCTTGTATGAAAATGTTGCTGAGACAATGATGATCATTATTTATTATTATTTTTCCGTTATCATTACATTTTAATAGTTGCACTTTTCACCTATCCCTTAGTCATGGTGACTGTTAGGAGGCTACAGACCTAGCAACTCTTTCCCTTCATTTGATTTTGTTTTTTGATTCTCTTAGGGCATCCTAAAACTTCAACCCTGTTCAATCAGAGATGTTATTCTCCCAATGCTTCTGTTGTTGGCCTCTTGTTAAAACAAGAAAAGTGTTTATCAAAACAGTGGAAAAAACAGTAATTATAGTCGGGCAAACAAAGTTTAAACAGGACTTAACTGGGTTTGAACTGAATTGATGACCACTACATCTCTACCCCAAACATGTGACTTTTCATCACCAGCTTTCCAGCTGGTTTATTATGCAGTGCATGACACTTCAACCACCATTATTTTGATATTGATTGGTCTTGAACAGGGTGTTCATTAAGCATCAGAGCTTGGGGAATTCTCTGTTAACTTTGCCGAATTCTCCGTCTAACGCTTGGTAGCCTATGACTATACTTTTTTTTATTCAGACGTAGAGCCTCTTTCAAAATATTCTCCTGTAACATTACACCTTTCTGCTGCTGCTGCTAGAATTCTTAATGAAAACCCTGTTTCATAGCTAAATGTTCACCAGAAAACTGATTATGAGGTTCTTCGAGTATTTTACTTTCATTAATTTATTTCAATGTTTATTTTACAGCGATCTTTCTATACTGTTGTTCAAAGTGGATAAGATGTCCATTACATACAGTGACCATTTAAAGAGGAAAAACACAACCAGGAAAATCTGAGAAAACACAAGGAAAACAAAACACAGAATTAAAATGACTGTAAGTATTAAGGTTGTCTTTATCAATGGTTCTTTGTTAGTAATTTCTAGATCTAGATTATTATATTATTGTTAAGTTCTAGATATTTTAAATGTATAAAAGTCTCATTGACTTGGAAAATTTGAAAAGCTGTAGGTAACCCATAAGTAAGTCATTTGTCCTAAGTACTATAAACACATTTAAGAGACATTATACAGGGGTATCCTAGTCACCCTAGTTATCCCAGTCATCTCAGTCATCCCACTCATCCCATTCATCCTAGTCACCCAAGTCATCCCAGTCATTCGAGTCATCCCAATCATCATAATCATCCAAGTCATCCTGGTCATCCCAGCAATTGTAGTCATCCTAGTCACCCTCCTCCTTGCAGTTACCCTGTCTCAGTAACCCTAACAATTCCATTCATCTAAGTTATCCTAGTTATCATAGCCACCCTATTCATCCTAGGTATCTTAGTCATCTAAATCATCCTCATCATCATAGCAACCCTATTCATCCCAGTTTTCCCAGTAACCCTTGTCGTCCCAGTCATGTCAGTCACCTTGTGATCCCAGTCATCTCAGTCATCTCAGTCATCCCAGTCATCCTAGTCATCCCTGTCATCTCATTCATCCTTGTCACCCTAGTCATCCCAGTCATCCTAGTAACCCTAGTCTTCCTTGTGATCCCAGTTATCTCAGTCATTCTGGTTACCCTAGCCATCCCAGTAACCCTAGTCATCCCAGTCATCCACGGTAGTCCAAGCCATCCCAATTTCCCAGGTAGGGGAACACATATCACTAGGGATATGTGTTTCCCAGGTGGGGGAACACATATCACTAGGGATATGTGTTTCCCAGGTAGGGGAACACATATCACTAGGGATATGTGTTTCCTAGGTGCGGGAACACATATCACTAGGGATAGGTGTTTCCCTGGTAAGGGAACACTTATCGCTAGGGATATGTGTTTCCCAGGTGGGGAAACACATATCACTAGGGATCTGTGTTTCCTAGGTAGGGGAACACATATCACTAGGGATATGTGTTTCCTTGGTGCGGGAACACATATCACTAGGGATAGGTGTTTCCCTGGTAAGGGAACACTTATCACTAGGGATATGTTTTTCCCAGGTGGGGGAACACATGTCACTAGGGATATGTGTTTACAAGGTAGGGGAACACATATCACTAGGGAAATGTGTTTCCCAGGTAGGGGAACACATATCACTAGGGATATGTGTTTCCCAGGTGGGGGAACACATATCACTAGGGATAGGTGTTTCCCAGGTGGGGGAACACTTATCACTAGGGATATGTGTTTCCCAGGTGGGGGAACACATATCACTAGGGATTTGTTTTTCCCAGTTGAGGGAAGACATGACTAATTATGTGTGTTTCACAGTTTGGGAACACATCTGTCTAGTGATTTGTGTTTCCCAGGTAGGAGAACACATATTACTAGGGATATGTGTTTCCCAGGTGGGGGAACACATATCACAAGGGATATGTGTTTCCTAGGTAGGGGAACACATGTCAATAGGGATATGTGTTTCCTAGGTGCGGGAACACATATCACTAGGGATATGTGTTTTTTAGGTGCGGGAACACATATCACTAGGGATAGGTGTTTCCCTGGTAAGGGAACACTTATCGCTAGGGATATGTGTTTCCCAGGTGGGGGAACACATATCACTAGGGATATGTGTTTCCAAGGTGGGGAAACACATATCACTAGGGATATGTGTTTCCCAGGTGGGGAAACACATATCACTAGGGATATGTGTTTCCCAGGTGGGGGAACACTTATAACTAGGGATATGTGTTTCCTAGGTGGGGGAACACATATCACTAGGGATTTGTGTTTCGCAGGTGGGGGAAGACATGACTAATTATGTGTGTTTCACAGTTTGGGGAACACATCTGTCTAGTGATATGTGTTTCCCAGGTGGGGGAACACAAATCACCAGGGATATGTTTTTCCCAAGTAGGGCAGCACATATTACTAGGGATATATATTTCCCAGGTGGGGAACACATATCACTAGGGATATGTGTTTCCCAGGTAGGGGAACACATATCACTAGGGATATGTGTTTCCTAGGTGGAGGAACACATATCACTAGGGATAGGTGTTTCCCTGGTAAGGGAACACTTATCACTAGGGATATGTGTTTCCCATGTGGGCGAACACGTATCACTATATATCACTAGGGATATGTGTTTCCCTGTTGGGGGAACACATATCACTAGGGATATGTGTTTCCCAGGTGGGGGAACACTTATGACTAGTGATATGTGTTTTAGAGGTTGGGGAACACATATCACTTTGGATTTGTGTTTTCCAGATGGGGGAACACATATCTCTAGGGATAGGTGTTTCCCAGGTGGGGAACACATATCACTAGGGATATGTGTTACCAGTTGGGGGACACATATTACTAGGGATATGTTTTCCAGCTGGGAAACACCTATCCCTAGAGATATGTGTTCCCCCACCTGGAAAACACAAATCCAGAGTGATATGTGTTCCCCAACCTGTGAAACACATATCCCTAGTGATATGTGTTCCCCCAACTGGTAACACATTCAGCTCCAGAAGATTTTGCTTGCACTTGACAAAGTAAGCGAGGTGAAATAATCACAATAGAAACTGAAAAAATGTGAATTCCCTTTTCCATGCGACGTTTTCATGGTTGTCAGTCGTCGTGGTATCTTTTAAAAACTCCCTAATATTTAGGCAAGACGTGACAGATGCAAGTGTGAATACCTGTTGTAAGCTCAAGCTTGTATTTTTGGAAAAGCGTCAGGACTCTTTAGTTTTTGGGCAGACAGTATTTCAAAATCAGATGGGGATTTTATATCAAACTGAATGTTTTCTGACTGCGTGCATTTCTTTGATGCATGAGCCAGACAAGCCGTGATCGAGACAATAGCCGTCGTGTACAAACTCCCGAAAAGAACTCAGGAGAAACTGTTCGCCAACTGGGCACAATAATACAAAGCATTTTTTGTCCCCAATCAGGAGCCGGCATCCGCTTGAATTTTTGGAAATAGCTCAGTGAGAGTCGGTACCGAGGCACTCTTTCACCCGTACTTGAAAACTTTTGTCCCGCCCTTTTTCCGGACCGGACTGACTGCCCCTAGGTCTCTGAGGATGGGCTTTCCCAGATACGGGAGCACATATCACTAAGGACATGTGTTTCCAGGTTAGGGGAACACTTATCACTAGGGATATGTGTTTCCCAGGTAGGGGAACACATATCACTAGGGATATGTGTTTCCAGGGTTGAGGAACATACATCACTAGGGATATTTGTTTTCAGGCTAGGGCAACACATGTCACTAGTGATATGTTTTTCCAGGGTAGGGGAACACTTATCACTAGCGATATGTGTTTCTAGGGTAGTGGAACACATATCACTAGGGATATGTGTTTTCAGGGTTGGGGAACACTTACCACTAGGGATATGTGTTTCCAGGGTAGGGGAACACATATCTCTAGAGATATGTGTTTCCCAGGTGGGGGAACACATATCACTAGGGATATGTGTTTCCCAGGTGGGGAAACACATATCACTAGGGATAGGTGTTTCTCAGGTGGTGGAACACATATCACTAGGGATATCTGTTTCCCAGGTGGGGGAACAAATATCACTAGGGATATGTGTCTCCCAGGTGGGGGAACACACATATCACTAGGGATAGGTGTTTCCCAGGTGGGGGAACACATAACACTAGGGATATGTGTTTCCCATGTGCGGGATCACATATTACTCGGGATGTGTGTTTCCTAGGTGGGGGAAGTCATATCACTTGTGATATGTCCTTTCCAAGTAGGAGAGCACATATCACTATCACTTTATTCAGAGGTAGAGCCTCTTTCAAAATATTCTCCTGTAACATTACACCTTTCTCCTGCTACTAGAACCCTGTTTCATATTTGAATGTTCACCAGAAAACTGATAATGAGGCTCTTCAAGTATTTTACATTCATTAATTTTTTTCAATGTTTATTTTACAGCCATCTTTGTATGCTGTAGTTCGAGGGGGATAAGATGTCCATTAAATACAGTGACCATTTAAAAAGGAAAAACACAACCAGGAAAATATGAGAAAACACAAGGAAAACAAAACACAGAATCAAAATGACTGTAAGTATGAAGGTTGTCTTTATCAATGGTTCATGTTAATAATCTCTAGATCTAGGTTATTATATTATTGTTAAGTTCTAGACATTTTAAAGGTATAAAAGTCTTATTGACTTGGAAAATTTGAAAAGCTGTAGGTAACCCATAAGTCAGTCATTTGTCCTAAGTACTATAAACACATTTAAGAGACATTATACACGGGTATCCTAGTCATCCCAGTCATCCCAGTCATCTCATTCATCCCAGTCATCAGTCATCTCAGTCATACCACTCATCCCATTCATCCAAGTCACGCAAGTCATCCCAATCATCCTAATCATCCAAGTCATCCTGGTCATCCCAGCAATTGTAGTCATCCTAGTCACCCTCCTCCTTGCAGTTACCCTGTCTCAGTAACCCTAACAATGCCATTCATCTCAGTTATCCTAGTCATCATAGCCACTCTATTCATCCTAGGTATCTTAGTCATCTAAATCATCCCAGTTTTCCCAGTAACCCTTGTTGTCGCAGTCATGTCAGTCACCTTGTGATCCCAGTCATCTCAGTCATCTTAGTCATCCTAGTCATCCCTGTCATCTCATTCATCCTTGTCATCCTAGTCATCCCAGTCATCCTAGTAACCCTAGTCTTCCTTGTGATCCCAGTTATCTCAGTCATTCTGGTTACCCTAGCCATCCCAGTAACCCTAGTCATCCCAGTCATCCACGGTAGTCCAAGCCATCCCAGTCATCCTAGCTAGTCATCCCAGTCATCCTAGTCATCCCCATATCCTTGTTTTACTAGTCATTCATCCTAGTCATCCTAGTCATCCCAGTCATCTAAGTTATTCCAGTCACCTTAGTCAGGCTAGTCATGCTAATCATCCCAGTCATCCCAGTCTTCTTATTCATCTCGGTCATCTCAGTCATTCAAGTTATCCCAGTCATCCTAGTCACCCCAGATATCCCAGATATCCTAGTCATCCCAGTCATCTTATTCATCTCAGTCATCCTAGTCTTCCTTATCAGTCTAAATTTAATTTAATTTAAGTGAAGCTAAGATCAAACTCTATATTGAAACAAAAATATATTACATATTGGCAACATACAATCCATCATTCTAAGAAACTACAATTTTACAGCATATTTAAACATAATGTTAAAATTTCACTAAGTCTTTTTCTAGGTAACTTGAAATTTTATAATCAAGGAAAGACTTGAGACTTCGTAGAACAACTACTAACTCATGATTGAGACTGGAAGATACAATCAAACTCCCCACAACGATTGATTCTGCCCTGCTTGTAACTCTGGTATAATTGAAGACAAATTTCATTTTCTCTTGCACAAACGAAAAATTCTTCGATCAAATCCCAAAAAATTTTGTCGATTTTAATCAGCTATCTTGCACAGAATTAATATTATTAATCTGATGAATTCACAGAATTTTTAACTAAATTCACTTTTGTGGAAATTTGTTTCATTATGTAATGATTTACATAATAATTTGTTATCAAATCATACTGATTACGCTTGATTGACCATTGTAATCAATGCATTGTAATCATTGTGTTTCTAATTGGCTTACTATCCCCATTAATTATTAGTATCACTTGTAACTTTATCTTAAAGCTTTTGCAACACTGTAACTTCATATAGTCATGCAAATAAAGCTTATGTTGTTGCTGTCACTCTAGCTACACTGTATGCTAGTCATTAGTCATCCCAGTCATGCTAGTTATCCCAGTCATCCTAGTGATCCTAGTCATCCAAGTCACCCCAGTCATCCTAGTCATCTCAGTCACCCTAGCCTCCCCCACAGTCATTCTTAGGGGTTTGTCACGTGTTCCTGCCCCACTAATGTCTGCTGATTTGAGCGGAAAAAAACGTAGACCAATCACAGCAGACTTCCAGATCTGGGAAGTGCACTTTGGACCTTAAGAAATTTCGTGCTTGACTTAACTCGAGAAAAGATCAGAAAGGTCTCATGATAAGGTGAAGACCTTACAGTTTTAGAACAAACTACTCAGTTAACTGGCAAGCATTCGTACTAGAGGCTACCCTCACAATCTCATTAGAAAAATTAACTCGGAGGTTAAAATAGCTGAACGGAAGTCGGCTTTACCACAAAACAATAAAGTGTGAAAAAAAA